GGCCAAATCTCCTTGCTGAATGAATTATCTGAATTTATTGCAAATACCAGACATATAGCAGGCACTCATTAAGTAGTTCTTAAGAAAACAAACATGAAATAGTGTTGGCACCACCATGTTGCAGGGAAGGGGTGGGTGTTGGAAGAGGAACTGAAACACAGAAAAGTTAAACTTGTTTAGGTCATACAGCTTATCCACTGTTTAAACCAAATTTTGTTAGGAGAAGTGAATATACAGAGCACCAAGTATCACTTCACAGAGGAGATAACATCTGATTTGATTAGAGAAAGAAGGTCTGATATTTAAGAGCTGCCAAAAGACAGGGACAGGGTAAAAGTAAACATGTCTGATTGGAAAGGACATTTCTTAGATCTGTGAACAATCCATTCTATAGATGACATTGTTGAATAGTCAGTATAGATTCTCGAATAGTCAGTAATGGTGCCCCAGTGCTATCTGTGGCTTAACAGGGGTCCAACAATATAGGGTAAAGTGTCAGTGGTAAGAAATCCTTGTTAATAGTCACTGAAATGCAGGGCTGGGACTAGGGTGAGGCAAGTGAGGTGACTTGAGTGTAAAATTTAAGGGTTGAACCTACACTTGCACAACCCATGGAGTCTTATCCTAGTGGACCCTGGTCCTGGCCTAGCTGAAGTGTTTTTGCACAATGTAAATTTCAACTCTAAGGTCCAGAGCTGTGTGTTCCAGTATGGTAGCCACTAGATAAATGTGGCTATTTAAATTTAAATAAAATTAAAATCTGGCTCCTCAATTGCTCTAGCCACAATAGGTATAATTTGTTGAATCATTTGCATTCTCCCTGCAGAAACTTTCAAATATTTATTTTGAATTCATTCATTCTATCAGTATTTGTTGAGCAGATACCATGTGCAAAGCACTGTGGGTAGGCAGGGGAGGGGAAAAAAGAAATTTCCAGAGATGAATTAGACTAAATCCTCCCTTCAAAGGGCCTGTGGTGTAAAAGATGAGCTAAGACTTGCAAAAAATAACAATAATAGGAAGCGGAAAAAATTCCCAAATAGAAGTTCAGAGTGGAGAGAAATTATTTACTGCTAGATCTATCAAGAAAGCTTTATAGAAAAGGTGGCATTTAAATTGATCTTTTAGGGAAGGTAGAGTTGGGAAATGTGAGTATAGTAGCAGGAAGAGCTCTATGGAAAAAAAAAAAGGGCAAGGCAGGAGGAAAATGTGAGCTAAATGTGGGAGGAACTGTTTGGTTTGCTTGGAATATAAGGCGTGTGGAGGTTGGCATACTGTCTTAAGTTTTGTTGGTATAGTCTGTTCTGATAATTTCTAAGAAACAGTTTTAATATAAATAGGTTTTTAATATAAATAGATTTAAATTAATAAGTAATTTTCATGTCATTAGTAGCTGATCTTATGCATAATTAAATTCCATGAATTGTAAGGTCACTTTTAGCTCCTGATGTTGGATGACATACAGCCAGTTTTCCCATTAAAAGATAGTAGTGTTAGACCCCAGTAATTCTTGATCTGAGTCTTAGCAAATAGTGTATTCCTCTTTTTTATGGGGACATTAGTACCTTGCAGCCCTTAGGTGACTTAGTGTATTATACGCATATAATTGAGGGCTGTCCAAATATGCTTTAAAGACAGATTAGCCATTTTTCAGAAAAACAAAGAAAAATGTCTTCTATGGATTTTCTGTAAAATATTTGTGAGAGCTCAGGCACACTGCCATAACAAAACACCATCCGTTTTCAGGATGATGTTTAATAGAAATATCACCCAGAGACTTTCTCTTCCCATCAAGGTGTTAGACTTGTTTCTCCCAAGAAACTGGAACTACAATTACTGCCAGTATCCGGGGCAAACAGTAAATCATTTTAAAACCAATTAACAGATAATATTTATAATTTTAGCACACAAGCCTTATAGAACCAAGATATGAAAAACAGCAACAAAAAAACTACAGGTGCCAGGTATGGATGTGTGTGTGTCTGTGTGCACATAAGCAAAATAGGATAAAATGTTTTCAGAGAAGAATGCTTTTTATCCCACGGATCTGACTTTGGGCTGAAAAATGAATCTCAGGGAAAATACAAAGCAGGATTAAAATCCACATCTGTAAAGCCATGAGGGAAATCTGGAAGGGCTAAACGTAAGTACCCTAAGCTGCTAGCTTCTTTATAACATTTTACCATGTTATGGAACAAATCTGTTGTACAGCAGGTAGAAAATGCATCAACAAAATTATATGTAGATGAAACATCAGTAATTAATTCTGAATAACAGAATAATCATAATAAAAAGATGCTTTTAAAATAAGGTCTCTGTATCTGAGGGAGAGAAGCTTTATTTTAAAGAGAGCCATTAATAAAAATAGGAAATAAAATAACACACATAGGCAATGTTCCAAATTACTTATCTTCCAACTAAACAAATTCTCCTAAAACACTTTTACCTATAGCGCTGCAAAGGTCAGAAAAGTTAACATAATTCTAAACATCTTCAAAATGCAGAATTGAAACTGATATATTTTTCTTTTTTTATAAAACCCTATGATATTTTTTACAACTGAATAAGATGAGTAGTCCAAGTACTGAACCTTCAGAAAGACATAGCGTAACTGAAGAAGTTCTAAACAATGTTTCACAATGTTCACAAAGATAGGGCTGCTTCTGGGGGTCAAGTGCTGAGGGGACAGGGCAGGTGGGGAGCCTAGGAAATTTGTCACAGGAGGACTGGCTAGAAAAACTCAGACTCTTCTATCATAAAGCCTGAGTTTCCCAGTACGTATAGCTGACATATGGAAAATTGTAAATCAACATGGATTTCTACGCTATCCCAAATTCCTAGGGAATACAAAGGATATTTTGCAAATATAAGAAATAAATTTGGACCAATGAAAAGCTACTCCAATGCAGGGTCCATGGGCAGTACTCAGAGAATCGCCCTTCCCCAAGGTACTATGAAGATGAGGGTGAGACCTCCAGTAGATACAGTGAGGTTAGCCTGTGAAGATCAGCTGACCAGAAGGGGAAGAATGGTGCAAAGGGAAGGAACTCAGCAAGGTCACTGTATTCAGTGAAGTCAGGAGCAGAGTAGAGACGGGGAAGGACTGAGGGGACCATTAAAATGGCCCCAGGCTCTGCAGATCTGACAGAGAAGAGTTTAACTCTCTGGATGGGATCTCCTCTGCTGGGCAAAGAGAAAATTTTGTCAAAATTAGAATGATGGTGGGCTGCACCATTTCAGTGTCTAGATTCTTTGCAATTCAGTCAGAACTATTGCTCCAGACACAGTGCTAGAGTCAGCGACAACATATGGAAAAACAGTAGCCTGCATAGCAATCATGAACCAGTTGAATTGTTCTTATGTCCAGCCAAAAGTGGCTCTAGTATGCTACTGTTAGACTCACAGTTTTCTAGCTCACACAACTATTGATCAGTGAGAATCAATCACTAGATAAGTGTGTTACAAGCACTTTCTAGACACAAATTACATTGAGTAAGGTCCATTAAGTCATTTAATGGGGAACACAATAAGTACAATCAGTGCCATATTACACTTCTAGTGCCCTGAGGTGAACCTTAGGTATGGTACCTCTATTTTCCATAAAGGTTTTAGACTTTTTATTTAGATTCATATGAGTTTGTTCCCATAAAAGAATGTTACTAAACTGAATTCATACTGTCCTTTACTCAAAGTACGAACTGTCGTGTGTTCAATCAGATTACAAGAGCACCTGCCACTCAAAAGATGAGAAGAATTGAATTTGAATGTGAACAAAATGGCATTAAACCCCAATAGGCTCTCTACGCTTAAGGAAAATGAACATTGAATTGGGGCCCTGCTCAAACACCAGCTACGCAGGGCTTTCATGGAAGTTGATGCCTTTCTCTCTCATAGCAGCTCTGAGTGTAATTACTTACAAAAAAATGATTTTTATCTCAAAAATTGAACTATTTTCCTGCAGTTTAATTTTTCTTTTCATTTCAGGTCAGTTTTCTGCCTCATGCTTGGGTGGCCACCTAATTCACTTGGGTCCAGCTACATCACATAATAGACAACATGTCACGGTTTATAATCTTTAAATATCAAGATACGTGTATTTAGTTTTCTCCCTCGGATCTTATTTCTTTTGCTTTCATACTGCATCAGTTACGCAAAAGCTCATTTTCTCGTGTTCTTGTTCTCCAGAGACAGTAAAGGTCAAGCTGAAATTTCTAATCAACATTAAATGACCAGAGTACCACCTACACTGAGTTGACATAACTCCAGCTAAAATGAGAGAAACATGAATTTTTAATTTGGTTTTACGCGAATGTATGATTCTTGTTGGACTTTTTAATATACTGAAAATAGCTTGTGATTTCTCCTTAATTTCTATGAACACCTCTAGTTGTCCAGAATCCCCAAATTGGAAGCCGTTATTTAAAAGATAAGACTTTAATCTTTCTGCATCTATTATTCTTACTAAACATACACTGAAGAACTAGGGCATATTTTTGTACATAAATTATATAAGTTGGGTTCTATTAGGAAATTTAACTCTGCCAGATTACCCAAATAGCCTCTTAGAGGCTCTCCTTCCTTCCAGTCTCACTCCTCCAATTAATCCTCTATTGTGCCGCCAGACCCATCTTTATAAAATGCAAATCTGATCATGCCATGCTCCTACTTAAAATTCTTACTGGCTCCACATTTCCTTCCGAATAAATCCAAACTGCTTAACTGGGCTTACAAGGCATCCGCTTTCCTCTTCAGCCTCATCTATCACCAGTATTACTTGCACTGTCATTAGTATCAAGAGATTTGTGACATCCTTCACCCTTGATTAAACCACATGATCAGCTCGGCACTGTCGTTGGTCATAGCTGCTCCAGCCACCAGTTCTGGGAGGGATCCAACTCTCACAGACCTCTGAGATTTTGCATACGTGGGACCTTCCTTTATTTGTATTACTCTCTTGCCTTTTGTCCCTCATCATGCCATCTTTCTTTTACCTCACCTACCCTGCTTGCTTAACTCTTAATTCTTCTTTATGTATCTTCTTAGAAGTCACTTCTTCCTGAAAGCCTTCCTTGACCCCTTTTACCCCCTGCAGGGCATTACAGGAGCCTCATGTGTGCTCACAGAACACTCCATCTTTTCTCTCTCAGAGCCCTTTCCACACTGCATTGTAATTGCCCCTTTATTTGTCTGAGTTACGCAGTAGATCAGTGATTGCCAAACATGAGTATGCATCAGAATCACCTTCAGGGCTTGTTAAAACAGGTTGCTGGACACCACCCTCAGAGTTTCTGATTCAGTAGCTCCTGGGTGGGGCACTGGGATATGCATTTCTGACAAGTTCCCAGGTCACATTGATGCTAGGATTCTGTGACTACACTTGGTGAACTTTGCAGTAGAAAATAAACTTTGAAAGCAAAGCTTTGAGTTATTCACCCTGACATACCTAGAGTCTAGCCTAATGCCTTCTATACAATAGGAAATACACAAATATTTATTGCATGGATTGGTGAATTTGGGGGCTTAAAATCACTCTACACGTAGGGATAATGGTGAAGTAGGTAAAAATTTATCCTTGGGCTTCCCTAGCTCAATACTGACCACATTTCCTGGTATTTCAACACCTACCACTACCACCATTATGGTTTCATATGGTCAAATTTTCAGCATTTAAACTGATTTTGAGAAACTAGATTGCATACTGATTAAATACAGAATCCCTTTGATCTTTTATTGTTTTTTAACTAAAAAGAATCAGATATCTTTGGGCAACACCATAATTAGCATAGCCAAGCCTACATGGCTTTTGATGATAATCGAGGAAAGACTAACATTACAGAGGAAAACTGTTTTGTAAGAAAATTCTAGCCCCAAGAACATAAAGAATTTATATGCAAACCACAGAATAGTTTACTGGACAAAAGAAAGCATTTGTTTTTGTTTGCATTTTGCTGTATTTTCCACTCAGTGGTTATCTCCCTA